CAACAAAGGAACCACCACGTAAATTCAGTCAGAAATCCACTGCCTTTTGCTGGGAAGAGCTGATGGCACCAGCAGTGGGCTCTGGGCATGAGACCCCTCCCATGAGGAGATTAATTTATCATATATTAATTAAGCTGTTTGCAAAAGGACTTTACATTTTGTTTGCATCCAAATGATAGGAGGGATTCTCACAGGAATCTGTGATGGTCCTGTAAGAAACAGAACTTTTCAGACTTCTGAACTGAAGTTGAGGGAAGGTCGAGAGCCCCACATTCTTCAGTGATTAATGTGTGTGCTTTAGATAAAGTAACTGAAAACTATTGATTAAGGCACAGTTACCCTTTAACGGCCAAGGAGAATTCCAGAGGAGATTAGCCTTTGTCTGGATCAATGAAATTGTTGCTGCAGTTGCCATCTAGATTTGCTAAAAAGAAACAACACACATGGCTCAGGTTTCAGAGCCTGATGGTTTATTAAACTCACAAAATTCCTTGTTTTAGGAGATATTTCACCAGATTCAGGCTGCTTACAGCAGAAATGTAAGGCCTAGGAACTTCTCATCAGTGCAGAAGCACAGAATAAACCGGTGATCTTTGCACCAAAGAAAGCACGACAAGGGAACAGATGAATAAATACGGGGAGAACAAGGAAATAATAAAAAATACTCATCAAAAGATATGGGTCAAGGGCCTGGTCGTAAAACCCTAACAGCCATCGGCAGGAGCTTTACACACATCGTGGGAAAGGAGTGCTTTGAGGAAGGACCTGGAGGAAAACAATGACATGGGATTGTAGCTGAGTTTAGGTAATTCCAAGCACAAGGAGTGGCATGAGAACGAGCACAAAAGCACCGTGAAAATCTGATAAAGAGACCAGGAAAACAGGCATTGCCTTTGTGATACCTGGGGAAGGATGAGAGGGTGAGAAAGCTCTGCTGGGGGGGGACCTGCAGGTGTAAATGTGTAGCTGGGGAGGGGACACAGAGGTGACAGGGGTGAGGGGGGGTGTCTTTGGTGACCAAAGAACCCAAAGTTGTCACATCCATCCCTGCCCAGAGCTGGATGGGGGAGACAGGCACACTGCAAACACGTCCTGGATGAGCAGGAGGGGTACGAGAACATTCATCACAGCTGTAGGACAGAACATTGCAGAAACTGGAGCACAAAGTAATGCACAACCTGCTAAAATCCCTTCAAAATCAGATGTGTTTGGACTTGTTGCTGTTCACGAATTTACATTTGCAAATGGTCCCTGCAGTGTGGTGTGTGCTTTGGAAGCAGGGCCTCCACCCTCCAGAGTTTCCATCCTAAATTACAGAGCCTTGGATAATCCAGGCTGTGGGATCTGAGGAGATACGTGTCCACAATCTTGTGCTGAACAGAAATACCTGAGCTAATTAGAAGTGGAAGAAGCCTGGTTGTAGCTTGGGTTATTTGCTTTGAGAAGAAAACCTGCTTTAAGCTCTTTAATGTTTATTCAGCACTTCAAGGCATTGTTGTCTCCCTTTGCAGTAGATTTAGGACTCGTTTATCCAGGAAAGTCTTCCCTTTAGTTCAGTTACTTGTCAGGAATGAGGAGGAGACACAGAGACATTTGAGTAACGCCCAGCACTGCACTGTCTGATATTGGAAAAGCCTTGTCCTGCATTCCTCAGACATTACACTTCCCTCTGATTCTGCAGAGTGCTCAAGTTACTGGAGAGTTGTCTCCCAGGCAAAGGAGGAGGGAGTGTTACCATCCAAACTTGCAGTGCTCCACACCTTCCCTTCCAACGGCATTGCATCCTGCTGGATCTGTGTCTAGGGAGCTCCATGACTTATTTCAGGTCTCTGAAAACCCATCATGACTTCACACCACAGTGATCTCGCCAACAAATGGCCAAAAGGACAGGTCCCCATCCTCAACTTTTAAATTGTCCCATCCAAACACGTCCTGGTGGACGATCTCCTTGAGAGGGCACAGGGTCCTGCATGCCTTGGGTCTCACAGATCCTTCTTCCCCTTGTGACTCCTGATGTCAGGGGTGTTCCAGCACACCATGGATGACTCTTCTGTCAGCAGAAGGGAACAGGAACAGCAAACTGTGTAAGGAATGTGAGCAGACACCGGAGGACTGGAGCAGTTTAGCTGCTTGACAGAATCCAGCGATAAAAAAATGCAAGAATACCAGGATGACTAATGGAAAAAATTCCCAAACCCGAAGCAATACAAATACCTGACCCAAACTCTTTAAGGCCTTCCTTTCATCCCATGCAAACTTTGCAGCTCACAGGCTTCAGTTCCCCTCCCACAGAGGGCAGTGTTCTTAGTATTCTGAGTTCTCACCTTCCCAAAGCCTTCAAAAACCCTAAAATTGTTTTCACTGAGTGACCTATAAGATTGTAAATAATGAAATAAAATAAAAAAACCTATCCAGGAACAAATTTTTCTTATGGTACTGTGGAATGCATTTTTAGCAGCAGTAGAATTCCACTTGGCTGTGCTCTGAAACTCAAAGACGATTCTGCTCATCTTGCTCAGCCAAGCAGCCGAAAGATCCCAAGCTCTCCAGAGCAGGATAAAGCTGTGGAACACCTTTGTGACTCCCTGGATATTGATTTCACCACGGAGCACGTGATGGGATCAGATATCCAACAATTCCCAGGCCCTGGGGCGAGCCTGTGGCACCAGCTCTGCTCCAGCCACAGCTGAGCCACAGAGTTCCGCTTCCTCTGCCCCTTCCTGCCCGCGGAACTTCCCAGACCTTGCTGAGTGGTCACAGAGGTTCTTTGCTGCAGGCCCAGAAAGGCAGTTTTGAGCAGTGGATCCATCTCCTGGGTCTCCCCACCTAAGGAAGCCCCCAAGTATTTTGCTTATTCCTGCAGGATAGAAAAGACCGACCAGCTCCGGGAGCAAAGGAACTAATTAAAGCCAGGCTCTGTGGATTGATGATCCCTTGGCTCTCCTGTGGCTCAGAGGGAACATTTATCTCCATGGGGATTCCTTTTGTTCCTTATCAGCCTTGCCCTCGCCGGGGGCACTGCTGTGGTCACTTTTCTCTGTCTCGCTGATTTTTTTTAATTAAACTTTCAGGCATATAATTCCTTTGAGGACCTGCATCTCCAGCTCGATTGATATTTATTTTAAAGCTTCAAAATTATTCCAAAAGGTTGGGGTCTCCATGGGCAGATATAACAGGCTTCACTTCTCTGGGAAAGCAAGCTCTTAGAAAATTCAATTTCTAAGTACTTGATATTCCGCAAAGTGAATGGAATAGAGTTTATCTCTCTCCTTTAAAGCATAATGTAAAATATTTCTTCAAGCTGATGTGTCATTTGCTGTAATTTGCTAACCTGCAGAAGGGCCTGTGTGCCTGAAAGCTTATTCTCATTTTTAGCTGTATGAGCTGGCCTATTATAGGACTTTATTTCTCCCTTCAGAACTTGCTTCTTGTCTAATTAGAGACCCTGGTGCACCCTCATTAAATCTCTCAGGAGTGTTTCTCCCTGAGGGAGTCCTGAGGCCACAGAACTAAGCTGAGGTTTATAACAGACCCATGATTAGATTAAGAGAATTCAATATATACCATAAAATGCAAATGCTTATGAATGTATTGATTTGAAATATTACTTCTCTTAACGTTGAATTGCTGGGTTTGGAAAACTCATGTTAATGATTTTTAAAGATCTTTCTAGGGCCAGAAGATGGTATTTGATATTGAACCTAAATCATCAGCCCAGGCAATGAGAAATCCAGATCCCTGCTCTCCTTTTAGCAACGGAGTCTCAACATGAGTCAGGATTTAGCCCCTGGTAATTAGTCTGAGTATTAACAACAGCTTCTGTTGAGAAACCTCCCTTTGTTTACTATTTCAGCAAATTCACCTGATGATTTTTTTGCCTTTGAATAATACATTCATGAGACAACAGGGTATGTCCTGGTGATTTTATTGCTGCTTCACCCTCCTGTAACTTGAAAATCCTGCCTGTTTATTAGTAAGAACGAAACACAAATTCCCTCCGTGAATGACTTGGCATCATCATTTTGTCACTAAAAAAAAAAAGGTACACAAGAGGACCCCTTTTCCAGGGTCATGGCCACGACTTTTCCAGAACCCATGCCTGGGAAGTTCATCTTTCTGAGGTGCTGTTGAGGCACAGAGTGGTTGAATGACTTGTCTGTGGTCAAAGATCGTGGTAGGAATAGGGATAAAAAAATCCAGGCATCTAGGAAAGCATCCTAAGCACTGGGGCATCCCATCTTCTGCCAAGGAGGCAGAAGGAATTGAACTGGATTACAACCAACAATTCAATGATCTATTTTCTCCTGCTTTTGCAGAGCAGGCCTTATTGACTCGTCAGCCTTAAACTGCTTCCATGGTTGATAGAGTTCAATTAGTCTTCTAGTTATCAATCCTTCATTGCCTTAATTCAGAGTATTAATTCCCTCCTTCAGCCAGCAGGAAATCTGCACAGAAATTTCCTTTGGAATTGTTTTGTACAAACTGTAGTAATGGGATTAGTTATGTCAAATTTAATCAAACCTAAATTTATCAGTAACAATATTTCAGATGGTTTCAGTAAAGGCAGGACAGGATCTGTCAAGATCTATTAAAAAATGACCAAGGAGCCAATTCTCCCGTTCCTCCCCTGAAAAGACTGGGATTCAGCACTTTGCTGGACTGATCCCATCCCTCTGCTCCTGGCTAAGGAGAGCAATCCAGCAGTGAAACAAGGAAAGCAGCACATGGAAATCTGGGACAACGGGACATCAGACCTACACCTTAGAGACAGCACTGGATCCCAGCTCTGCCTGGGGCTGATTGAGGGGCAGATCCTGCTTGTTAAAACCTGTTTGGAGTAATTGTTTCTAGAATGCAGTAATAGCCAACAAGTTCTCTTGTATATAATTAAAAGTTTAAGCTCTAAACCCACTATTTCAAATATATAAATATACATATAAGAGAAATACATCCACAGAGTATTTATTACAAAACAGCATTTTATCATTGCTGAACAAATGACTCGGTTCATTTATCTCTTACAAAATGACCTGATTTAAGGGATTTAAACACTTCTCACCTATTTCGTTTCCAGGTGCTCAACTCCACCTTTCTCATCGTTCAACAGCCACATTTCTGAGCTGAACAACCCTGAGCAAATAAAAAAAAAAAAATAAAATGCTGCAGAGTCGTATCTCGGAAGCATCTGCAGGTATAACAGTAGACTTCAATATTGTCAAAGTTCTTCATAAATATTTATGTATAAAAGTTCCCCAGACTCCAATATTTCCAGATTTAGTCGGTCCAACAAAATATGTTAACATTCTCCAGAGTTTGATGATAGAAATCCTTAAAATGTTTCGAATTCCTTCAGGATTTTGAAGGACTCCTTGGATCTGCTGTACTGTTTGGCAAACGTGGTCACTCTATGGAGAGCTTCTTCCAGCCCCTCTCCCGTGATGGCACAGCAGGGCTGCACGTACCAAGTCCTGTCACTGCAGTACTTCTTCATCTTGAACCTCCTGGTGATTTCCTCGGCGTTCAAAGCTCCAGGCAAGTCCTGCTTGTTCGCCAGCACCACGACCGGCACGTTTTTTATGGATTCGTTCTTCAAGATGAGCTCAAACTCTCTCCTGGATTCCTCCAGCCGTCGCTTATCAGAGCTGTCCACCACGTACAGCAGTCCATCTGTGCCCTCCAGGAAATTGCTCCAGACCTGCCTCATTTTCTCTTGCCCTCCAACATCCCAAAACGTCAGTGTGAAATCTCTCCCAGTTTCAATCATATCCACATTAAAGCCGATGGTTGGCGTGGTCAGAAAAGTATCTTTATACCTGAGCTTGTACAACAGCGTGGATTTTCCTGCAGAATCCAGTCCCAGCATCACTATATTGGCTTGCTTCTCTCTGTGGGGTTTGGTGTTCTGCTGGCCCATTTCTGCCCTGCAGTTCTCCACTCCAGCCAGGCTGGGATATTCCCTCTCTTCCGTGAAGCCAATTTGCATCGATGTCTTTCCTCCTCTGTGAGATGAAGGACAAAAGAGGCAGGAAGGGGAAGAAGCAGCTCTGTGCTCTGCAGTCAGTAAAACCTCTGTGCAAACACACCGGGTGGTTTATCGGGTTGATAACAGGCCAGCAGCGCTCAGGAAGGTGCACCCTCCGTGCCAAGCCTGTGGGTGGGACACCATGAGTAACCTACCAATTGGTCACGGGCACAAAGGTTACTGCCTTCCAACAGGTCTTCCAAGACTTCCAGGACCAGCAGCCTGGCTATACTCCCTGATCCATGGGCTGGGGAAAGTCTGCCCTGTCTCAGTGCATCCACATCCATTTTGGAAAAGGAATTATGTATAAACACAGCCAGGGAGGAGGGGAAATCCTAAGGTTTGTCCATACTTATCAATCCATAAACTGACAAGGTGCCCTCAAAGTGCATCTTCCAGCAACAAACCAATGTCACCTTGAGTTCTGTGTGCAGTTTTGGGCACCACAATATAAAAAGATATTAAGGTATTAGAGAGAATCCAAAGGAGGCCACGAGGATGGGAAGGGTCTGGAGGGGAAGCCACAAGAGGAGCGGCTGAGGGCACTTGGTCTGTTCAGCTGGAGGAGACTGAGGTCAGACCCCACTGGGGTCTTCAACATCCTCCCAAGGGGCAGCAGAGGGGCAGTACCGATCTCTTCACTCTGTGACCAGTGACAGGACTCAAGGGAATGGCTGGAGCTGTGTCAGGGCAGGGTCAGGTTGGATCTCAGGAAAAGGCTCTTCCCCTACAGGGTGTTGGGCACTGACCAGGCTCCCCGGGGTGGTGGGCACAGCCCCAAGGCTGCCAGAGCTCCAGGAGGGTTTGGACAAGGCGCTCAGGCACAAAGTGTCATTCTTGGGGTGTCCTGTGCAGGGCCAGGAGTTGGACTTGATGACCCTGCTTGGTCCCTGCCAGCTCAGCATTCTCTGTGATTCTGTGTCAGTGGTTTCTAATCTGAGTCTCCCCAGGCCCAGGGACTCAATCAAACTGTAACAGAGCTCCTTTAAAGGCAGGCTCTGCTCCACCCGCCTGCCTCTGACCATGGCACTGCCTCCTCCTGCCAGAGCTGTGAGCTGGGGGTTCTGTTTGTATGAACAACTTTAACTGCACTTTGTATGATGATATAATGAGTAAATATAGACCTTACGAACCAGTCATCGCTGAGACTCTGCTGCCTGAAATTAAAAATCTCTGTTAGCTTCATTCTGCTCTACTCTGCTTGCCCACTGATGAAGATTTCCTTCAGTAAAGGGACAAGAGTCAGGGAAATAACCGTGTCTTGATAATTTCTTTTGCCAGCATTCTAAATAGTAAAACAAACCAAGAGGAGACAGAAAATTTAGTCTGATATTATTGAATTCCTATTAAGTCTCCATTTTTCAGACAGTAGACAGACCTACACCGGGCTGGCCCAACACATACCGAGTACTGCAGTACTAACTTGCTCTCACATCCAAGAAACCATTTGTCTTTGCTTCAGAAAATATATAATCAGCAAAAAGCTGTGAAGGTCTTGGTGGCCAAAGGAGCTGCTGACTGATAGCACAATCATTTCAATAATTACGACATTGATTGCTCACATATTACATGTTGCGTAAAATAGACCTCAGCCTTGTCAGACAAGTTATAATCTGGTATCTCTTGAAGCTAAAAGGGTTAGACCAGAACTAATTGGGGGCAACAAAATATGACAGTGATGTTCTCAGTGCTGTGCATTTTTCATAGTTAATAAGACATATAGATTACGTGGAGGACTTTTTGCAGGAGCAGGTCATGATGTATTAAATCCGGGAAGAAAGGGTTTGTGTTTCCTTATAAATAATGTATATGAACGAACTGAAAGACAGGGAGGCAACTCTGAGATGTGTAATGCAGTCAAATGAATCAGAATTCCCTGGAAAACAGCGTGCAGTTCTGAGGAAACATGGTATCTTGAGCAAGGGCAAAGCCTGGCAGGGATGGGTGGTGCTGTGACTTGAAGCTCACACAGTTCTCTGCTCTGTGTCTGCTCCAGCTGTGTTCACAGTCATTTCTTACATCAGGCCGTCACTTCATGGCAGTGATCAAGCAGAGTCTGATTTTCACCAGCTAATTAAAGTGAAGGCCAGCACAGAGCAGCTGCCCTGGGAGGGCATCGGGGGCTGGTCATTTCTAACAGTACCAGAGCCCACACGAGTTCAGTTCAGAGCAGGATCGTGTGATCCAGAGCTGCTTCCAGTGAGGATTCCCTGCATTGCTTCGGAGTTCATAACCAGTGTGAGATCAAACCACAGGGCAGGGTGTGATGCAGCTCCTGCTGCCGGGTTCTAACCCCATATCTGCTCCCGAGCATGGATGGAACATCCACCTTTGCTTTGTCCAAAGGTGTGTTTGCCGGGCCGGGCCGGGACTATCCTGTGTTTAGGGTTTGCCTGTAGGTTCGGTTGCACAACCCCGAGTCATAAACCCGGGACAGCTGATTTGGCACCAACTAATCTGCGCCCAAAGCACAACAACCCTTTTGTACACCCGGCGGTTTTGTGTAAACTCTGCAGGTCGCCGAGTTGCCCGGGCAGGTTATTCCAATCCCTAAAGTCAGCAGATGGGATGGAGGGAGTGAATCCTCACGAGGGCCATTCCAGCGGCCGAGGCAGGAGGGGGAGAAAGCTCTGCCCGGCCCTGCCCGGCCTTAGCTCGGGATTCCTGCCGGAGGGAGCCACCGGGATGCTCCGGGAGCCGGGCGGGGCAAGGCGGGGATCGGCGGGGCCGCTCCCGGCGCTCGGGGAGGCGGAAGGGGAGGCGCCGCTTCCCGGGCCCGGCAGCGACAGGAGGGACACGGTAATGGGAACGGGAATGGGAAACTGGGATGGGAGTGGGACATTGGGATGGGAGTGGGAGCGGGCCCCCCCGGGCCGCGGTGGGTGCGGTGGGTGCTCGGGGGGAGCCCGATGACCGCGGGCACCGAGCGCGGCTCCGGTGCCTGATTTTAATAAAAACCACTGAAACGGCCTTAAATCGCTGCCTGGGTTCAGCAGAGGGCGGCAGAGCCCCTCGCACCATCCCTCCCTGCTGCTCCTTAATCCATGGCACGAGAGAAGGCGCCTGGAACAGAGAACCGGGGTTGCTCGGGCGGTCAGGAGTGAGAGAAAGTCGTTGTTAAAAGTCCTTTAAAATAGTTCTTAAAGTATTGTTATATTAGAGCATCGTACACCGGCGTCTTGCAAAATTTCCCCTAGATTGGTTGTAAACCGCATGGAATCACTGGCTGGTCGGGGTTGGAAGGTCTTAAGGATCATCCAGTTCCACCCCTTGCCATGGGAGGGGACACCTTCCATAGACCAAGTTGCCCAGAGGTCCATCCAACCTGACCTTGAGGCCAAGGGACAGGAATAAATTTCCAAATAATTTCTGCTGGTAGCTTTATAAAGCAAAAGGATTTGTTTTTCTATACATCTAACATTAAGATATTTAAAAATCTTTAAACTGGACGATATCATAGTTATTGGAATTGTCAGTCTTCAGTGAATATGAGAATTTCCTGCCTTTTTCCTGCCAAGCATGTTCACACTCCGTAATTCCCTGGCTGAAGCAGAGTGTGAAAGATGGATCTAAAATCCCTGTGGAGCATGTTCAGCACATGTTGCCTCACCTTTGTTCCAAAGTTCATCGGTTTGATCTGTTGGCACAATCTCAGAGCCAGGGAGTTGTGAGCTTGGAAGAAAATGAAAGGAATTCCCTGGAAGGAGCAGTTCCTGACCTGGTGCTGCTCCTGATGTGCCTGCTGTACAACTGGAAGGGGAAAACTGCCAGCAGATAAAGCCTGGAAGTGGTGGAGAACCCACCCTGGGAAGCTGGAAGGGCTGCACCTGCACCAGGACCGGGCAGAAGGTCCAGCTCCACTCAGACCTCGCTGCTTCAACCTCCTTCCTTTGCTTTGCCCTTTTGAAATAGGAAGAGGTGGACATTTTCTGAGGGCTGTGTTTGGGGTTTCCCCTTGGATTTGCCTGTTTTCCTGCCTGTGTTTGAAGTGGTCAATGATCCTGGAGGGTGACTGCCATAAAAAATCAAAGTCCTTATGGTTTTTTTCCATTAGGCAGCCAAGAACTGATCCAGCTGTGACATGCTTTTACTTTAAGTTGGTCATCAAACCCTGATAAATGTTATTGATATAATATCAAATAATAAGCACTGATATATATATAAAACTTAAATTATTTTCTTCCACTATGTATTTTCATATTGTTCACTGAAAGCCAAGTTGGTGGATATAGAGAGAAGATTCCTGTTAGTTACTTCCTGGTTTTGAGAGGGATCAGTCCAAAAATCTTCTATTAAATACTTATTTATATAAAATTGCTTGAAATCCATTTTAAAGATGCATCTTTGGTGAATTTTAAAGAAATGTGCTCCAGATTTTTCTTTTAAAGGATGATGAATTTAAAGTCAGAAATATGAGGCAGGTGGGCTCTGGCAAATCAAATTTCCTTGGATTCCAGTGTGCTGTGTATTTGTCAAATACAAAACACTTAGAAGCCCTGTGGTGATATTTTTGAAGATAAACAGTAATTAATTGTGCTGAGAAATTGAACCTTCCCTCACCCTTACTGTGTCTGTGAGCACTTTACAGTGCAGGGTAAATATTATTACTGCAAACATCAGAAATCCTCTGGAATTCCTAAAGATGTCTAATGTATGAGCACAGCATGTGCAGTTTTAAAGAAATACAGGAAAGGTAAACAGTGGTACATGGAGGGTACAGGGTTTAAACTGAGTTTTGGGAGGATGTGTTGATTGGAATCTCTAATCCTGACACTGTAGGAATGGCTTCAGCACGGATTCCATGGGGTTTGGAAGTACCTGCTGAGGAGTTGGGGCTCCAGGCCGAGGTGTGTGTCTCAAATCCAAACATGACTTGGCTAATGGTAAAAATGGTGATGGTTTTGGTCAAAAATGGCTTTATTAAATCACTTAATTTAATTAAATGAGTTGATTTTTACCTTCTTCCTCCTTCAGAACAAGCAGCTGCTCAACCCTTAAATAGGGGATGAAATATTTTTGTGTACTTTTGCTGTCTTGGCTGATTTGCTCCAGCTCATACAAACCAGTAGGAATTCCTGTGTTTAAGAGAAATCCCACATTTTGAAGCCTCTGAACATCCACTTGCTTTGTAGCCACTGGATTTTGTTCCTTCCTGGCGGTGGAATCGAGTGGGAGAGATCGAGATCACAACATGGATCTCTGAGATCTCTGGGATCACAACATGGACCTCTGAGATCTGTGGGATCACAACATTGGCTCAGATCCATGCAGGGGGGATTTCCAAGGAGAAAGCCAGGAGGTTTCAGTCCAGGCCGTGCTCCATGCTCTGCTGGGATCCATGGAGTGCAGGATGGAACAGCTGGATCAGGGAGGCTTGGATTTGTCTTCACTTCACACCACGCTCCCTGCTGACACTTTAGAGAAGGAAAAGGTAATATTTGGATAACACTGCTCTGAATGCTACTTGTTCCTTTTTTTTCCAGCAAGAAAGATGCTTCAGGACTCGTGCAATGGATTCTGAAGGTCACCAGTGCACTTCCACAGATAGACCATGACACTGCTTCCAGTGGGTGCCACGTACAGGAGGCCCTTAAAGTGGGTTTTTGTGTTTCTCCTGGTGTTTTCCATGGTAACAATATTGTACATAACCTCTCCTTCCAACACTGTGCTTGAGAAGGTGAACCTGATGTATTTCTACGAGTATGAACCCGTTTACAAGCAGAACTACCTGTTCACGCTGCGGGAGCGCTGGAAGTGCCGGGACATCCACCCATTCCTGGTCATCCTGGTGTCTTCCCGCCCGAAGGAGGTGAAGGCCAGGCAGGCCATCAGGATAACGTGGGGCTCTCGGAGCTCCTGGTGGGGCCACCGAGTCCTGACCCTGTTCTTGCTGGGGCAGGACACCCAGAGGGGAGACAACGCTGCAGAGCTGTCGGTGGAGGACGAGAGCATCCTCTATGGAGACATCATCCGGCAGGATTTCCTGGACACCTACGACAACCTCACCCTGAAGACCATCATGGGGTTCCAATGGGTCTCCGAGTTCTGCCCCAGCACCAGGTTCCTCATGAAGACTGACAGTGATGTCTTCATCAACACCCCCAACCTGGTGAAGTTCCTGCTGCAGCAGAATTCCTCGGAGAACCTTTTCACTGGTTACCCCCTCATCAACAACTTTGCCTACAGGGGCTCTCACAAAACCAGATCCATCTCCTACCAGGAATATCCCTTCAGGCTGTACCCTCCCTACTGTGGTGGGATGGGCTATGTCCTGGATGGAAAGCTGGCCCTGAGGATTTATGAGCTGATGAGCCACGTCAAACCCGTGAAATTTGAGGATGTTTATGTTGGAATTTGCTTAAATATTCTTAAAGTCAACGTCAGTGTTCCAGAAGATGCGGAACAGTTCTTCCTGTATAAAGTTAATTTTGATGTCTGTAAGTACAGGCACCTGATTGCAGTTCATGGCCTTGCACCGAGTGAACTCATCCAGTTTTGGCAGGATTTGTCATCCAGCAGTTCCGTGACTTGCCTTTGATTCTGGATTAACAAAAAAACTTAAAACCCTGTTTGGTGTAAAAACATTTAAAGGGCAGGGAAATGCAAACCAAAAGCAGTTCTAGAGATGCCTTTGACAACACTGCAGTGGCAGCATTTCCCTGGAACACCCCAGTAGTCTTAAATAAAAATACCAGGAATTCACAAAGCACTTTTCCACGTGGGTATCCCACACACTCAGGGTACTTTGGAATGCTCAGGGTACTTTGGAATGCTCTGTCCCATCTGCCTCTGACACCTCCCCATGTGGTCAGCTACAGGGATTTCTGCCTGAATCTTCTGGAATGGATGAAAAGGAATAACGTTTATGGCAAGAAACCAGCTTTGAGGACTCTTCCCAAATTCCTGCCTGGACTGTTTTTATGGTTTTATAGCCACTCTCCATTATTTGTTCTCTGCCCAGCGTGAAGCAAAACAACCTTCTTTCTGTGTCTCACCTCTGTGACCCTTCTGAGAGTGTCACACCTGGGTATTTAAATGTATCACCTCTGTAAGGCTTCCAAGAACATTCCAAGCCTGTGGGATCTGCAGGAGCTGATGGGAAATTCTGGGAAAGTGGGGCACTTTTTGTGTGTGTCTCTACAGACATAAAATAGAATGGCTTTGGTGTCTTTGACAGTGTTCCCAGACTCCTGGAGGGCAGGTGGAGTTCACTGGTTATGAGACATCCCAAAAACACTGGGGTAATCAACCCCCATATATAAACATCTCTCTGTGTGTACTGATGCATCCCAGGAGCTTTGGAAACCACAGGGAAGATGAAAGCAGAATAATTTCTCCTGTGATTTATGTCTGCTTTTCTCAATTAGTTTCCTTCCCCCACATTTTAAAACGTGAAAAAGGAAGAACCCCCCGATATTTATATTTAAAGAAGACAAACTCTGCCCTGTGTGTAAAGACCAGTTTTTAATCACTTTATTCATATCAGCAAGGCCCAGTTTTCAGTAGTTTACACTTCTAAGAGACAACAATACAGAATTTTGCAATTGCATGAACATAATTAATCTGGACACATCCACTACACGGGGAGGAGACTACGGTGACATCCTGTCCATGGAGCAGCTCCTGTTCCCAGGGATTTTGCCTGGCAGAATTCCACAGTGTCTCCTACAGACAAACCACAAGAGGTGCAGAAACCTCCAGGACCACGGGGGGGAGGTTTCAGCAGTGCCTTCATTCCCTTGTGGTCAGGATTGAGTTTGGCTCTTTTCCAACAGCTGCACGTGGGGTTCGGGTGGGATCGGAGGACGGGTTATTCTTGTAGGTATAAAAGGGAGGTTTTGGGGACAACACTCTCTAGACAAGATGTCAGTGTTCTAAGGATGGATGGTAAGCTTGAAGCTTTTAAAAAATAAGAGGTTTTTTTTTTTTTTGTTAAATAGCTGAAGATACAGAATTGGGTAACTGAGGGAAGGATGCTCTTGTATTTCCAGAAACAGGTACAACTACAGCTGTGCCACGGGTTTAGGATCTGGGGTTTGATTGTTCTCTGGGCAGATCCTGAGAGCTCTGTGAGAAATATTTGCCTCGTTCTATGATTGTTCTTACATCTCAGAACCCAAACCCCTCTGTTTTTTAGAAGCCTGCCGTGTTACGTGTTCAGAAATAAATTATTTGCCACAAAAACACTGATACTACAGCACTGTTTTTATTGCTTCCCCCCCCAAAAAAAAATGTAATTATGACTCTGCAGGCTTCAGAAAATAGATAAAGCAGAGAGTGGTCCTGGTGAGGGAGAAAGGAGGGTCACAGAGGACCAGAAACACACCCATCACCTGCCAGTATTTGGGGTTTCTGTGCCCCAAGTGCTGACACTGCTCAACAAACAAAGGTTTGTACACAGTGATCAGTTTGAAATTAATTGTCACCTACAGTGACAGCAACTCTGCAACGAATCCCACTGGAAAATGAGTCCTGGTTTTCTGAAAAACCCCTCCTTTCCAAATCTGATTTGTGTTTGAGTCTGACCTTATTATTGCTTAAAAGGCTGGAAAATTCCTAACTGTAAAATTCCTAACTAAGCTCCTGTTTCTGCTTAAAGCCGTGATTAGGGAAGTTTTTAGCATGAGCAGCCATGCAAGAGGTGAAAAACCTTCAGACCATGAGCTAATCTAAGAATTGAAGTCAGAGGTGGGCCCAAATTTTATTGCATCTGCCTAAAATATTGTATTAAAAATGCCTAAAATTTTTCCAGATCCTAAGGGTTGGTTTTCTTTTCTCATGCAGTAAGTGGTTTAAAAGCTGTAGTAAATCAGAATTCCAAGTACTTGTGATTTTATAGGAAAATTGGGGTTTCTGACTTGAAAAGCCTAATGGTAATAATCCATTGGGCAAAGATTTTTGGGAATTGCTGCTGGATGGGGAGCAAAGGGGGGTTCTGATGTGGAATTCCCTGCCTGGATGTTACTCCAGAGGAGTTAAAATGCTGAAATGCTTTGTGTGCATTTGGAACAAACAAATTCCAAATAAACCAGGCAGGGGCAGCATTCCCTGTGATCAGTATTCCCAGGACATTTGGCATATTTTCCAAAGTTTTGCCTTATGTTTCCCAGTCCCTGCTAAAGCATTTCAATGCAAGTAACTCACAGATGCCTGGATGCACAGCAAACAATGGAATTTTATCAGGTTTCTGTCAAATTTAAACTAAAACCTGAGTGAAGGATGTGCCACTGAGTTCCTGATCCGGCTCCATCTGTTTCCTTAGGGATGCTGAAGGAGTGTGGAGCTCCATATTTCCCAAATTTCCCTTTGTGTCCAAGCAGCCTGTTCCACTCTGGTCCACTTATGAAGTGTTGACAGTTTGCCCAAGGCAGAGGTGGCAGGGACAGGGATCCCAAGTTTTGGCAGGACAGGGATCTCATTCCTCCCTGTGAGGGTGGGGAGGCCCTGGCACAGGTTGCCCAGAGAAGCTGTGGCTGCCCCTGGATCCCTGGAAGTGTCCAAGGCCAGGCTGGACAACCTGGGACAGTGGAAGGTGTCCCTGCCCATGGCAGGGGTGGAACTGGATGGGCTTTAAGGTCCTTTCCAGCCCAAACCATTCCATGATCCAGGGATTTAATTAGAAACATAATATGGTTCTCTGTTTCAAGTATAAACCCATAAAATAATACCTTATACAGCCAGGTAGGAATTGTTCTGTGTTGGAAATTAAGCTTCAATTTACAGGTTCAAAGTAATTTCTATATATCTCTAAGAACCTGATGTTTCTTTTAATCTATTTTAAAAGAGGGAGTTCTTTTAATTTTTGGGAAGAAAACCCCACATTATGTTGAGATGATTAAAGAATTATGAGGCCTTGGATTTTCAGGATGGTTATTTTTAGGTTCAGACTTTGCAGAACTGACTTTTGAGGAGGAATTTTGTTCACTGGGAGAAGGGGCAGGTGCAGCTCATTGCAGGAAACACCAGCACTGAGGGATTTGGGAATTGGTGCCTGGATGGTGTGTTGGCTGTTTGGTCCCACACACTTTGACAGACATTTGAGGAAAAGGAGGTGGGTGCTTTAAAAATCCACATTTTGAAAGCTGTTGGGAGCATTCACAGGCACTTAGCCCAGCAATTTGCCAAAATTGTGTATTTTGGAGATTATAACAGCATTTCCCCCAACCTGTGGAGCTTCTGCTGAAAGAAGTTACGTGGCTATTTAAGCATTTCATAACCCAGAAAGGAGTGAAGGACAAACTGTTATCTCAGGAATTGCTCCTGAGCCTCTTATTTATGGTTCTAGAAAGGCTTCAGCTGCATCCATTTGCTTACCAGAGCACCCAGACCATCCTGGAGAACTGGAGACACCTGGAACTTTTGAGTTACCTAAGGGAAAACTCTGAAACAGCTGCTTCCCTAAACCTTGTCTGGTCAGCACCACAGAAATAAAACTAATTAAACTTCAACTCAGTAGTAACTCTTTTTTTTTTTTTTGCTGAGTCTTCAGGTTTAGAAAGGTCATTTATGAATATATGGAGCACAGCAAGGGGCAGCAGCTCCAGGCTCTGCAGTTGCCAAATTCCAGCAGAACATTCTCAACTGTAAACTTGGAATTTTGTACAGAGGCCTAAAAACCTACTTTGGGAAAGGAAAGGCTGGTAAGTTTGTTGGGTTTTTTTCTGTAGTATAATCACTCACTAAATGTTTCTCTGTGTAAAACAAGTATCAGCTACATTAGCAATATATCCATATTATTTAAAGCAGGGCTGTCCTGCATCCTGAGAGGCAGCTGGACACAAAATCCCTTATTTTCAGGCCGTGGCGTTGGTGTTTCTGCAGCAAACACTGTTCAGGCTGGTGCAGCACTTCAGTTCTAACTCCTGGATTCGGAAACCTTCCTAATATTTTACTTTTACCTCTGTAAATGGTTTAACTGTGTAAGAACAGCAGCAGCACCCACAGTCAGTGGACAGTCCATGATGCTGGACGGCATTTGCCTTATTTATATTAATCTAGACAATCTATCAGTAAAACTGGCTCATTCGTGTCAAATTGGGTATTTTTAGACATTTTAGGAGTACAGGTGGTGCCACCATCACAGTGCCACCCGTGCCACCCCTCCCTGTGGGATGAGATCCCTGTGCCTGGTGCTGGATGGTGCAACAGAAGAAGGAGTGGGATCGGTTTGGTGTGAAATAAAACGGTGTCTCCTGCCAGCCCTGAGGTGAGCAACGAATTCCTGACTCCAGCTTGGGAAACAAGGGGGACTTTAAATCCCTCCCCTTTGCCACACGGGCTGAGAGAGCCGCTGAGGAATTGGAGGGCATGCTGCGGAGTTCCCATTCCCAGGGCAGGCTCAGACCACTAGACGGAGCCACAGCGCCACCAACCCCAGCCCCGGAGGGACAAGCAGGGAAAGTCCCAGCCCTTCCAGGAATTCTAGGAAGGATCAGCCTGTCTGAACCCCTCCCAGTGTATAATCAGAGTGGTGAACTCCATGGCAATCCATGATCCCAATCCTGATCACTGAACATTAAAATGTCCCACGTGAGTTAACGGGGAGCTTGTGACATCCCTGGGAACAGCCCCAATTCCTTAAGCACCGGACCAGCTGAACTAATGAACAAGGTACATTTTGTCACATTGGACCACAGGGAAGATGCTCTTTGGCAGCAACTCAATCCCTCAGTTCTGTGCCACGGGAGGCTCTTCCCAAGGGAACAGATGTCACCAACGGAGCCACTCGGGCTCGGGCTACAAAAAACTTCCATGGCAAGAGGAGCTCCCAGCTGTGTTCTGGCCACTGCCACCAAAAGGCAGCTCTTTTTTTTGGAGAGGTGCCCAGGCAGGAGAGCAGCAGGGAGGAACCCCTTCTGCCACGGCGGATATTTCTGGCTACAGCACCTGGCAACCCTTCCCAGCTGGAGGATGGAGCGTTAAGGCAGTGGGAGAACCCTGGATTGTTCAGCTTGCATCAGCAAAAGGTACATTACTCAACCTTGTCGTCCCACAGCTGTGTCACGACAGAATTTGGCACAAATCAGCAAAATTCTACATGTCTGGGTTTGGATGAAAAGCTTTGCAGGCTGGCAGCAGGGAGCACAGGCAGGCACAGAGCACAGAGGTGGAAGAGCACACAAAGCCTCTCACCTCCCCCAGGCCTTCAGCTTCACACCTAAAGCAGCTGAAACTCGTTTTTTAAAAGTAATAAAAGCCAAAATCACCAGCTCAACAGAGATGATGGGCCTGGATGGCCAGGACAGTGCAGAGGGAGGGGGAGAGGAGGCTGCAGAGGAAGCTGAAGGTGCTCCAGCAGCTCTTGCTGCAGCTGCAGACACTCGAAGGCTAGAGCAGGGCTGATTGGTGCCTGCCTGGAGGGGCTGGGAGTGACAGAGGGAATGATCCTGGAATAAACATCCAGGCAAACCCCT